AGACTGACTCAGTCATCAGACACACACACTCACTCACTCAGTCACTCATTCAGTCACTGAGTCATGACTCACACACACACACACACTCACTCACACACACACACACACGCAGTTGAGGTTGAGAAAGAGCTGGTTGGTGATCCGCTTGAGCTTGCGGTGCTGACGAGTCTTGGGTGGAGCTGTGTCCGCGACACCGTCGCCCGCCCCTCTGCAAACCTCTCTGCACGCAAGATCCACACCTTCCCCTTCACACACACACACACACACACACACACACACACACACACACACACACACACACACACACACACACACACACACACACACACACACACCTGGTGGTGGGCGGCAGCAGCAGCAGCGGAGAGCGAAACTTCGAGGTCAGAGACCATGTTGACCAGACCAGGGAGAACCCTGAACGCAACAAGCAACAGCAAGACAATGCAAAAGCATAACACAAATGGATGAGTGCAATGTTAAAATGACAACAAACAGCAAATTACACCGGAAATCATGCGTGCTTGTGTGCGCATTCGTCGCCCTGATCGAAAACAGACCTGGATGCTTCTCTGCGTTTCTTCTTGTTCGCGTGCTGCAGAAGAGGCTGGAAGACGCCATGAACAACAGCCTGCACCTGGTGGTGGATGAACGTGCTGTCGAGGGCAACGTGCACACGTGTGCGTGCGTGTGTGTGTATGTGTGTGTATGTTGTGAATTCGAGTGGGTTTCGGGACAGTGGCAACACTATTCGCACACGTACGTGTACAGACGCATGAATCAAGCATACGCTCACGCCGCACACAACGCGCACACAAACAACACGATACATGCATTCGCGCACTTGATCTCTGGGACGAGAAGCGAAGCCATGGAGTCGAGCTGCCCCTGCACGTCCTTGATCATGGCCAGCACCTCAATCATGGCCAGGCGCTCCGTGCGCGAGTAGTTGTAGCGAACAGCCTGAAGTGGAGCAAATTATGAGTGTGATGTGATGGTGGGTGGGACGGAGGTAGTACATGCGGTTGTGTCAAACGCAGACGAAACAGAGGGACGAGGGGACACAACACATGTTCCTGCCGTAGAATGATTTGTGTTACTGAAGAGGACAGGAGGAGATGTGTGTGTATGTTTGGCACCAAGCTCAACTCAATGTCGCAGCGTGACTGACCTTCTCGTAAGGGGTGCAGCCTGCAGGACACTCGCGGTTGATGTATTCATCTGTGGGATGTGCATACTTCCAAGCAGCCTGTGGAGAGTTGCGTTGGTGTGAGCAAGCGGCAACGGGCGTTGCATCGTGTGTGTGTGTGTGTGTGTGTGTGTGTGTGTGTGTGTGTCTGTGTGTGTGTGTGTCTGTGTCTGTGTGTGTGTCTGTGTGTGTGTGTGTCTGACACGTATGCATCCAACCGACTCGCATGCGACGAATGTACAGTAAACGCTGCAAGCGAGGGTCAAAAGGGGGTGTTACGGTAAACATACAGGCCCACCTGCTCCAAGATGGCCAGTGTCCAGTTAGCCACGGTGCGCAGGGCCTTGAGGGCGAGGTCGTATGCCGTGCTGTTTCCGGCCTCCAGCGGCGTTTGTTGGCTCTGCACCAATGTGTGTGTGTGTGTGTGTGTGTGTGTGTGTGTGTGTGTGTGTGTGTGTGTGTGTGTGTGTGTGTGTGTGTGTGTGTGTGTGTGTGTGTGTGTGTGTG